TATTATTATAGCAAAAAATCAATCACTAACTATTATACATAAAATAAACAATGACAAACAGTAGAGAATAAATAAGAGCCTAATAATATATATATAGTATACATATTTTAACACAAGCCAAATAGATAATGACAATAGATAATGACCGACACTTATTATATTATTATTATTTCAAACAATATATAGATACGACACGCACAAAAAAATGGTTTAGTGATAGCAGCTTGAAATAAGAATAGCATAAGGTCTTACAGTTTCAACAATTAATAACTGTACTTCATCTTCCCTCTTCTCTCTCTCTATCTCTTGCTCCTCCATTTTCTCTCTTTATCTCTCCATCTTCTTCTATCCCTCTCCCTCATTTTTAGCTTTTATTTTTGTGTGTTTTTTCGGAAGAATACAGTTTGGACCGTTACGTAATCGTGCTGTAAAGCTGTCTAAGGCGCTGTTACGACGCTACGGCAGCCGCTGCGGCCGACACACCTGTGAATTCAATCACACTGCAAAAGCGGCCGTACAGGTGGCGGTACCGCCAAAACTTACGTAACGCGTTACGTAACGGTTGCGGGCCGCTTTTAAAACCCTGGCGACGACAGTAATTTTAAAAAATATAGGACATGATAGTCACGATCAAACCGCTCGCTGAAGGTTTTTACAGCCAAGACCGGGCCAGTAATCCCGATATCAGCCACAAAATTGGAATTAACGAAACATATTTAATAGTAATGGGGCCAGAGACAGAAGCACACTAACAAATTTTGTCAATAATAGTTGCATATATGAAGTAAATAGAATATTCATACGTTATAACTTACATCCGTATGCAAAGCACATAGATAAAATAATGTCCTGGAGTCATTCCACAGTAGAGTCATTGCATAACAAACCAAAGGGGAAAATGCAGTGATACTAAAAATAGAAGTCAAATATGACGACAAAACAAAGGACAAAGATCATAGATAAAAGCCTTGAGGTGAGCATCCTTGGATGACTCCCAAAACTCGTTGATGTCATTCTTTTGGTTGGTTGTTTGGATAAGCCATAAGTGTAAATGGTGTCCATATGAAACATAGAAAGCACAAATCGAATAAGATCACATGGTAACGACGTAAGAAACAGACTTCCATTATGTGTGGGTGGGTTTAAATATGTGCGGGAGTATTTAAACAAAAAAGAACAGAAGGAAAAGAAAAAAAAAATTAAAGAAAACTTTGATAATTATTATCATTATAATAATCCATAAGCGTTAGTTCAATCATTGATCATTCATTCAAACAACCGTAAGAAAAATACAGGGGTTCGAATGGAGTGTCTGTTTTGGTCTTTGAGAGAGAAGAGAGAGGAGAGAGAGAGAGGAGAGAGAGAGAAGACTTTTCCTTGTTAATAATTGACCAAAATTCTTTTAGGTAAAACAGCTTGGGGTCAAAACTGGAGTTTTTCGTGATATTTTTTTGCTTTCTGGAATTTTGTTACTTGTAAATTTTGGAACTTATGCTCTGTTCGGTTGATTGGAATGGGATGGAATGATATAGTTCCTTAGGCTCGGCTTTGTAGAAGATCATTCTCTTACAATGAGTGAATGACGATTCCATTTATAAGTACTTTTTCATATTTTAGTAAACCAAACATAGGAATGGACAATTTGATGAAGATATCAATCCTCAACTTCATTCCATTTGAACCAAAACATTAACGTAGGAGAAAAACAATCAAACCAAAATCGGTTTTCTTGAATTATTTTCCCCAATTACTGAATCCAACATGATAGCCATAAGGAAAGCCTATTTACACACCGGCTTGATGTTCTTTTATGTAATCCCATTTGCAAATATGATGTGTCACCAGAAAATCTATACAATTATGCAATGAGGCAATTCAACTATCACTTCTAAGATGTAAAATGTGTTCTCAAGCTACCATTACATGGTCTAGGTAGCTTGGAGTTTCTTCTTTCATATAGTTCCATTTTTTGAAACTTCTTGATATATATATAATATAATATATATTTTTGGGATAAAGGGAATCGAGCTTGCACACACACAAAAGGGAAAATAATAACAATTATAATCTTCATAATATGTGAAACAACATAAAAACTTGAGAAGTTTATAAAGGAATGAAAAATATACCGTCTCTTGGACTTCCGACCCTTGTCCTACGAATTTCCCTTTATTTTTTTCGTGTTTACCTTATTGTCATTTTACGTCATCCAAAATGGATTTATTCCTATGATAATGTCTTATGTTTAGTGAGAGTTGATTTTTTATTATCTTCACACTACTAAACTCTGAAATGTTTGATACCTTGTTCATATTAATTCTTTTTCATTGTCGTATTGATTTTTCTGAGAGTTTTGATTGAATTTCTTATAACAATATTTTACCAAAACCACTTGCCTGTATCCTTCATGTCTGCCAAATATCCTCCAGCAAAGAAATTGATCTATGACTGAACCTTTTCTTTTAAGAAGTTTATTTAGATAGTTGTTGTTGGTGCTACTGAAATTGCTTCATTCTCCTTAAATAGGAAGAGTATAATTCCAAAGAATATGAATGGGTAATTATTTTTAATGCTTTATGTGGCAGATGGTGACTAACCATTACCTTCTTGGACCATTTGACTTAATTCAAATTTTATTTTTGTAGGCATATCAACTCACTAAAATCACATTTGATTTTGTTGCAGGCTAATTATGACAGTGCACTTATGTATCTTGAGTTCTTATCTTTCTTGTGGGTTCTTTTGGTCTATATCACTTTGACTTTGATTTATTGCTCTTTTCCTCTTTTCCCTTGACCCAGGGAATTAACGGGGAGAGCCATCCTTCAATCTTGGCTGGAAGGCTTAGCACATGCTTCAATGTCGTGCTTTTTATTTTGGTTTTATCTTCTACCATTGGTCATTTTTTCCTGATGTACTACTATTACTAGAACATTGCAAGTGCAACTGAATTGTGTTTTCTCCAGTTTGATAGATTGGTGGAAAAGAATGTGGTTTTACTTATGTTCAATCCTTATGGTAATTTTATGTAAAGTTGTTGCACATTTAGATTTCATGGCTTCAATTTGGATTTAAATTCAGTATGCTTTGAAATAATATCTGAAAAACTTTTTTGACTCTTCTTATTACTAAAATTTGATTATTTCTTTATTGGTTAATTCTTCTGAGTTTAGCTACCTCACGATATCAAGTAAGTGTTTTCAGAATTGTGTAGTGGTATTATCTTATTGAATTCGAAAGTTTTCATGCTGGCAGCTTAAGAATTCTTAAAGAGAGTGTTGTTCTTTCAGTGGATATCAATTCAAATTTCAAACAACCATAAGGAATCCAAAATGGAACAAAATTGAAGTTATTGATCATGGGTAGCTATTTTTCCGACGGCATCACTAATCAACTGGTAAATAGTTTGGGGGAAAATTTTTCACAAAAAAGTTATTTAAAAAAATTTCATCATCCTCAATGGTTATGAATGTCATTGTGTAATCATTTTGAGTTCTATATAAATCTCCAGATCAGCTACCCTTAATAACATATCCTAATATGTCATTTTTAGTTGCCAATTGGCTGGTATTGGTAAAAGTCTTAAGATATATTGTATGAGTGTTTTTGTTATGAGACTCTGAACCATGGGATGGCATGTGTTCATAAAAAATACTGTATGCACTTTGCCTTGTTCATAACCAATTGTGCATGTACTATTTTTTCACGACACATTTATGATGTATATATATATGTTCCATATGTTTTTGCTGGATACTTGGTCTAGATTTAGAAGTTGTTATACCATTTCTTATTCTCTTTCATTTTATTTATATATTTTTGATTGTAATGTCAGAGGCTCCTGACCTGATGAATCCCACTTCTAAGGAGTGCTTTAGCCTACGCAATATATATGGAATCTAGAGTTTTTGATGCTGAAAGATTCATAGATGATTATGCAAGCCTTTGAGAATTTCATAACTGCAGCCATAAGTGGAGGTTGGTGAGGATCTGAAACGGGATATGACGAGCTTGGTATTTCTGCAAATTCCACGAACATGTCCCCGTATTTCATTTCCATTTAGTTCATCATCTCAATCAGGGCAGCCAACTCCAAACAAGAGCAGCCTATTGCATTTTTACTTGTCCAGAAGAGGGGAACATTTTTCGAGAATTTCTTTTGGATGATATTTCTGAAAAGTAACTGTGTGTTTACATCTTATTTGGTAGGAGCTTCATTTCCATTTAGCATAGAATCTACATGTTTCAAGCACCATGTTCAATCTTACATATATTGTAAGAATTTGTTTTGATGTAAAAAATTGAGAAAAGGAAGTTACTAAACATATCCAGTTTATGGTGAAAACAAGAAAACTTCCAATGATTCTTTGCACAAGGTATCATTCACAAGCATGCCTATTTATCTCGTTCAAGACTGATAGTTCAGTCATATGTTTCTTGTCGAGAAGAGTTCAATTTTAAAACTTGCATCTTTGAAGAAGATGTTGCACATTTTGAGTCGTCAATTTTTTAGGTTTTTGAATTGATGAGTGATATGCATGTTACGTGAGCTCCAGTAAGAGATGTGTATCGAGGTTAATTTGATATCCAACTGAGTGATGAACAGTGTGCTACTGGAATAACTGGACTTAATGGTTTTACATGAGTGCCATGATGCTTGAGATTTCAGATAGACTAAAATGTAAAAACCTGGTAAACCTTTGGCTTGTGATTCAGGCCAAGTTGTCCCAGAATGGGTGATCTTAGATTTTGTTTAGTAATCTTTACTGTGGTGCCTGGGATGTCAGTGTGTTGATGGAAATCACTCTATCTCATACTTGAATTGATTGCTAAAAGTTGAAGTGCAGTCTTTTTTTACAATGAATAATCTACGTGTGTCTGAGAGGTGAGGGATTTATATTGTGTGTTCGTAAAATGGCTATAAATGGAGGTTCTTTCCTGGTTTTTTTTTCTGTTTGGTTTTTTTTTTTTGGGGGGGGGGGGGCTAATTTTGTTGGCTTCTTCCTTAGTTTCTTGTGATTAAGTTGTTTCAGGTTCTTGGGGTTGAACGGAATGCAAGTCAATGTGAAATTCAGAAATCTTTTCATAAGTATGTTTTCTCTATAATATTATTCCTGTTATCCTATAATACTCAGCCTTTAATCATATTATGGTTTTGTAACACCATGTCTCATTTTCTTCTTCACATTGATTGACATTCTTTTTAAGCAAAAACATCAAGTTATTGTCTTATGTTTTGGAACTGATTTTTTTTAAACTTATAAGTGAAAATGTTGGCTTGGATGGCTGTGCTGTGGTCAACTTGATAAAGCTAAAGATGCATCTTTATGCATAAACTCTGCTTTTGCTTTTCTTGATAAAGCTAAAGATGAATCCACAATCAATACACAATCATAAACCAAAAGCAATTTTAAAAAAGAAATTAAACCCAATGCCATTCCCATATCAAAAGCATCCAAAGACTCTCTTCCTCTGTGTCTGTGGCAGCTCAGTTGAATTCTTTAAAATCACCACCTTCTGAGTTCAACAAATCTTCCATTAATGGCTGCCTCTGAACCTAATATGAGGCTTCTCTTCATCTTCTCTCTCCTCTTCATCTTCCTCACACCTTCCTCATACCAGATTGCATTTTATAGTTTTTTTATCTTCTCTATATGTAGATTTTTAAGGTGAGATATATGTAACTTTTCTCCTACTTTTGTAGGTACTATTTGGGAATTTCACTGAGGCCTAGTTTGGTATAATTTTAAAAAGTCAAAAAGTCACTATCCTATTTAAGTCATATCATCTTATTTAAATCACATCATCTCTCTATCACATCACTTCAAACTCAATTCATATTTTACGTTTTTTCGTAAAAAATCAAAAAGTGCATTTATTTAAATCATTCCAAATATACCCCTGAGGATGAAACCAGGTCATGGCTCAAAACAGTCATCTGAAAAGACTGAGAAGCATGTGGAAAAGAAAGAATTGGAAGTTAGTTCTTCAAATGTTGTGATTGGATTATGTTTTGGGTGGCAATTTGGATTTAATGTTACCTTGCACTGACATATATTTGGTGATTTTTTTTAAATTTTTTTTTGGATTGAAGAGTACATATATTTTGTGTAGTACAAATCTCATGAAATGTACAATTATATTGGATATATAAAAAATGTGATTAGCTTAATACATGGTTGGCATATGGATATGTAAATTTGAGCCATTTGTGTTTTTAGTTAAATTCTCAAGTTGCCATTAAATTCTCTTTTTTTTTTTTTTTTGGAGAAATTAGTTAAATTCTTTAGTTAATAGTCTGTTATAAAAAATAAAAAAAAAGTTAAAAACGCCATTAAATGATGTCATCATTCTTTGGTTGTGTTATGCTAGTTTCCAGAAAAAAAAGCTACTAAGGGCTCGTTTGGGGAGTGGCTATTTTAGTCAAAAAGTCAAAAAACCAACTAAAAGTTGTCACATCACCTCTCTACTTTTCTGCACATCTTTTTGTAAAAAGTCAAAAAGTTATTAAAATAGCCTGTTCCCAAACGAGGCCTAAATGACGTCATCATGATGTCATAAGTTATTTTGTGATGGAAAGATAGCGGACGCCAAATTTTTCGTGACGTTTTTCAAAATGCCACTTAATTTTTTTCGCGACGTTTGTAAAATGTTGTAAAGTTATTACGGCGGCCGTATTAACGACGCAAATGTTAAACGTTGCTATAACTTATGACAGTGTTTTTGAAGCTTATAGCGGCGTTTCTGAAACGCCGCTAAAAATAATTTTCCTGCAGTGAAAATAAAATTAAAAAAAATAATTTTATAAATTAAAATCTATAAATTAAATCTTCCAGAGCTTTAGCAGAATTCTTCCATAATGCAAAAATTGGAAGTGAAGGCTTGTAGTGGATAGAATCTCTTTAAATAGATTTCACTCACTACGCCAAAACAGGACATTAACGGCGGTTTCGTTACCGCCGTTTAAAAATACTATTAACGGCGGTAACGAAACCGCCGTTAATAGTATCTTTAATGGCGGTTTTCGTTACTGCCGTTAACAAAACCGCCGGTAATGACCCTTTAATGGCGGTAACGAAACCGCCGTTAAAAAATCGTCGCTAAAGCCATTTTTAAACAGCGGTAATGAAACCGCCGCTAAAGCCTTCTCATTACCGCCGTTAATGATGGCGGTCTTTGTCGGCGGAGCTCCGGTGAGTGGTGACCACGCACGGCTAGGGTTGAACATGACCATCTACAATAAAGTAAAAGTAATGTTTAAATATTTATTTAGGAAATATATTTCATGAAGAGTAGCTGTGGTGGAGTGGTTGGTGTGGGTGGATGAGAGATTGAGGGTTCAAGACTTAGGGAGTGCAAGAAGAAAGAATTATTTTTCAAAAAATTTGAACCTATTTACGGCGGTAAAGAATTGCCGTTTTTGGTCTTATATTACCGCCGTTTTTAGTCGACTTTTAATGACGGTAATTTACATTTTTATGACGGTTGTACTTTTTTCGACACGCGCATAAACGGCGGTAACGAAACCGCCGTTAATACCGTCGTTAAAGGCTTTAACGGCGGTTTTATAGCCTTTAACGGTGGTAAAAAACTGCCGCTAAATCCCAATTTTGACGTAGTGACTCTCGTTCTAATACTTTGAGTTTTGATTGGCCTCAGTTTTTCAAAATGCAATGACTAACACTCAAATTGCAACACTACAATTTAAAGTCTGACAAACCAAACCAGTGTTGAAACTCTCTCTCTCTCTCTCACAGCAAATCCTAAACTCTAATTTATGTAGAAAATGTAGAAGTAGAAGAGAGCATAGAAGAAGGAAAGAATTTAAAAATTAGATGAAGAAATTGTAGGAATAGAGAGGCTATTTGTAGCCTCTTTGGTGGTTGTTCGGAGTTGGTCGAAAAGATGTGATCGCAAATCGTAGTTGGTCAGAAAAACGGTGACTGGAAGAAAGAGACATAATTCAAATTTAAATTCAAAATTTTGACTCAAATGAAATTAATTTGAATTTCGAGCAAAAGACTTAAAAAATTAAAATGAATTTTGTCCAAAAATATAATATGAATTGATCTGATCCACAACTCACACCTATGCTAGAGCTCGGTTGTGTGGGTGTGTGATAATTTGAGTCCAAGCCCATTTGTCCATAACTTCCACCTTATAAAAACTAGGCACCCTAAGGGCCCAAACTAAAATCTCGAACTTCAAACTTATATATACACATAAGTTCTCTTATCTTTTCTATGTGGGACAAGCCTATTTCAATAATGTATAACGTACCAAAACTCCATTTTCACGAAGCTCACTTTAGAGTCAATTTCCAAATTATTTGTAAATGATTTTGTAAATGATTTCACCACTCAAATCCATCAAAAAATATTGAATGGGATTCACCTTTAATTTACTTCAAAGTTAGCCAAAGTTTTTATTTCACAAAACCATTTCCAACAAAGCTTACCTATTTGTTTATTTGTCCAAATATAACATACATGTTTATTTGTCTAAATGTCACTTATCTATACATGTGTCACCGATCTATTCAACTATTTGTCCAAATGTCACCTATCTAAACACATGTTACCTATATATTCAATTATTTGTCCAGTATCACATATCTGTCCACTTCATTGCCACTAGCCACCACCACTAGCCACCATCGACCAGCATCTGTCGGCGACCTTTGTTGTCAATTTGTTTTATTAATTTTTCCAATGATGATGACTTTTCTAACTACTTTTAAACGTGTCTTTATTACCAAATAAGATTAGACCAAATAATATATATAAGTATGAACTTTTTACCAATTAATCCTATTGTTAAGCAATAAAATATATTTTGAATTAATTTTATTAAGTAATACACATAACGGTAAATTATTATTTAAAATTATTACACTCTCGAAAAATTATTAGTTGTTGCCCCACCGGTGATGCTCCCACAACATTACAATTGGTCGATGTTTATTTTTTATTTGACTTGTTTTGAACAACTGTTGCTACATAATTTTAAAGTTTTAAAATTTACATGAAAAAAAATAATAATATTATATGCATCAATTAGTATATCAATTAGTGTAGTAATAGATAATGTGATATAATTTTAGAAGTTTTGTGTATTTATAATTTGTATAATGGGTGGAGTCAGTAATAATGTTATAACATATGTTGGTACATTACTTAATTTATCAATTGATGCATATAATACAACCCTTAAAAAAATTATTTTTAATGTGAAAGATACAACTCAATGGGACACATGTTAAAAATCTTATATATAGAGGCCCGCTCTTTGCATCCTAACATATGAAAAACATAAGACCTATTTTATAATTGTATATTATATTTTCTGGCCAGTTTGCATAATGCAATATTATAACCGATTATGCATGTGTTACACATTTATACCAATGAGAATTTTACATAGACTTTACAGCCTGTCATAGAGTCTGAATTTGGCATGTTAGGCTCAGAAGTCTCTCCTCTCACGGCTTAGAATCAACGAGCATTCAAAGGGCTCTAATTAACAAAGATACATTCAAATTTGTTTCAATTTGTTTAAAAATATGTGTCCATTAGTCTCTCTCTATGTACGTCTCTCTACCACATAGGTCAAGGTCATAATGTCCTTAATTTATGGGTTTACATAGACTAATGGATTTACATTTTCAAGGGAACAACTCCATATCCATGGCCATATAGATTACAGGATGGTTTGGAATAATCTAAATAAGTATATTTTTTTGACCTTTTATAAAATATGGGTTGGGTATGTATTAGGTTTAAAGTGATGTAGTAGAGAAGTGGTGTGATTTAAATAAGATGATGTGACTTAAATAGGATAGTGACTTTTTAACTATTTTAGATTATAATAAACAAGGCTTTTAGTTCGATGGAATAAAGTATTTTGGAATACTTATATCTTGAAGTCTATCTTATTCCAATTGGTTGTGAAAAGCCAATTGGCTTATTGCTTTTAGTAAAGTTGCACAAGTCTTTTACATTAATATAGTTGTGTTCAGTATGAAATAATATATATGGTGTCAGAATCAATCCATTCATTGATTATAATGGTTCAATTCAAACATTAAACTGCTTAGCTATAGTCTTCAAAATGTTTTCAAAACACCAGTTGATAATTTGATCAAAGGATGAGGGTCGCATTAAGAGGTCAAGTGTTGACACAAAAACCTTTGCCAGAGGACTTATTAACCTCTGAACTCATCATGAATTTTTTGAGATGTGGTCTAAATCAACACTATTACACTTCAGAAAAAATATTTAGAAAATTAAATCAATAGTGCACATTTATTATTGGCGTGACCTACATTCCATTAATTTTAAATCCACACCTTTGAGATAAGATTCATAATAAATTTTCTTATTCTCCATAACATTTTTGTGTCTAAATCCTTCATTTCCATAAAAGGCTAGATTTACATTAGTACTAAAGTGACTTGAATATGGTATTCATTTTTAGTGACAAACGTGATAAAGTGAGTAGATTATGATTATCGGATCGATTTATTTTATTTTATATTTTTTATTTTTTGTGTGTGTGTGTGAATGAAACACACATAGTGCTCAATAAAACGGTTCGGAGATTATCGAAATAGGTTCATTGATGGACTCCACAGACCCAAACAATATTGTCCAATCCAAATTATAGACCAGAGAAATTCTCTTCCTTTGGGTCTAAATACTTCATTTCTATAAAAGGCTATTTTTTAATGGAATTCCAAAAAAAAAAAAATGAGGGAGAGAAAGATAGAGTACAAAAGGTTTAGGAGATCTCTATCATCCCATCATATCATATAATCATATAAGTAAAGTAGAATTTTCTCTTAGGAAGTTTTAGAAATGTGCCAAGTGTCATTTGCAAGCACTTGACCCAAGATTGGTGTGAAGAAAAGCTCTTTTTTTAATTCTACCCTTCCAAGTGAGCCATCCAAAGAATTGCACTTTTGGTGGGGAAATATTGTTCTAGATCCACCTAGCTGACCCCAACCCTTGACGCATATCACTCATACAGTAAGCTGAATTTATAGTGAACATACCTAAAGATGAGGCATTCCAAACTAGAGAATCATCTATATCTGACAAAATGGGCCCAAGTGAAGTAAGATAGGATCTTAATCTTTCCACTTCATCATCCTCCCAAGCCCTCAGACTTCTCCTAAAATTAAAGGACCACCCAGCTGATCTAGTTCTCTTGTTAATTATCTGTTTAAGATTAACTTCTTTGTCTACTGATAGGTCACAGAGTTTGGGAAACTCATCCTTTAAACATCTGTTAGATGCCCATGGATCCTCCCAAAAACTAACCCTCATCCCGTTCCCAACCTGATAGACAAAATTATCCTTGGAAAAATTTCACAAATTGGGGCTGCTATGTTCCAGACTAAGTATATCTCCCCAGATTTTTGAGCACTGTGCACCATTTGCCAAGAATGGTCTCTATCTCCCACCAAAGCTGCCATACTTACTAATCACAATATCTTTCCACATTACCCTATCTTGAATTCCATATCTCCACCACTATTTAACTAGAAAACACACATTAAAATCCATCAACCTTTTAATACCCAGCCCTCCCAAACTTTTCTTTATGGTAACATTCTCCCACTTTACCATATGAAGCTTCTTTTTAATTTCTGACCCTCTCCACAAGTACCTGGCTTGAATTTTATCAAGCTGCTTAGCCACATCTACAGGTACTTAAAATATAGAGAGGTAATAAACTGGTAATGAGGATAACACTGTTTTGATTAGTGTTAACCTTCCCCCAAAAGAAAGTGATTTTCTCTTCCAAGAAGCAAGCTTAGATTTGAATTTGTTGATCACAGGCAACCAAGTGCTCCTCTTCTTTGGGCTGGCACCAAGTGGCAAACCCAGATACATGAACAGCAACTTTTGATTCTGGTAGTTCAATTGCACAGCAAAATCAGCCAAAACCTTCTTCTGTATTCCAATTGCCCAAACATGACTTTTATGAAAGTTGATCCTTAAGCCAGACATCACCTCAAAGCATCTCAGAATTCTTTTGACATTCAAAACTTCCTGCTCCTCAGCCTTACAGAACACCACTGTATCATCTGCAATTTGCAGATAAGTGACAATAATTTGCCCATGACCTACAACAGCTCCTTTGATCTGCCCCAATGCTTTAGCCCTTTCGAAAAACATATTCAACCCTTCTGCCACAATGTTAAAGAGAAAAGGTGACATTGGATCCCCTTGTCTTAGTCTTTTTTCATGACTAAATTCAGTAGTGGGTGAGCCATTAACAAGGATTGAAACTCTAGATGAATGCAGACATTCCTTTATCCACCTGATCCATTTATTCTAAAAACCAAAGTTTGTCATCATGGAAAAAAGACACTCCCAGTTTACAGTGTTGTAGGCTTTCTCAAAGTCATGTTTTAGGATCAACCCCTTCTGCTTTTTCTTTTTGCACCAATCCACAACTTCATTGGAAATTAACACCCCATCCAAAATGCTCCTACCACCAATAAACGCAGATTGGGATTCTCCTACTATTTTAGACAACACCATTTTGAGCCAAGATGCTAGGACCTTAGAAAATTTTTTATATATAGAACCAAGAAGGCTAATTGGTCTATAGTCCAAAATACCATCTGGACAATCTTTCTTAGGAATCAGTGTTATGAAAGAGTTGTTAATACCTTTAGCCAAACACCCATTAGCATAGAATTCATTGAAGAACTTCAAGATATCCTTCTTAAACACCTTCCAACATTTTTGAAAGCACAACATGTCAAATCCATCTGGTCTTGGCGCCTTGTTACCATCACTTTCCTTAACAACTCTCCAAATTTCCCCTTCCGAGAATGGCTCAACTAGTCCAGCGGATTCCATGTCCTGACCAATGGTCATGTGTCTTTCTATTTATTTTATTTTATTTTATTTTTTATTGTCTTTTGATTTTCTTTTAAGTTTGTTTATTAAATATGTTCATTTATAATCATTTTCTTTTATTTATATGTACTTATTCATTTAGTGGAATATAAATATATGAGAATTGTTAAAATCCACCTACTCTCCACCTACTTCACCCACTTAAACCTACTCCACTAAACATAACCCACTACACCACTACCACCTCACCTACTCCACTAAACCTAACCCACTACACCACTACCACCTCACCTACTCCACTAAACCCACTACACCACTACCACCTCCACTTCACCTACTCCTTACCTACTACACACTCACCATCTTCTATATATAGGAATCATGAATATATATTATATGTTCTTTATTATTATTGTTATTATTATTTTGCTGCTTTACTCATTTTTAATATTTTATTTATTTATTATTCAAGTCAATAAAGCTAAGTTCTCTTCCATATCTATTTTGTAAGTTGTTAATGGTATTTTTCTTATATTTTATAGAGTACTCATTATATATACACAAAATCAGAATTTAATATTTTATAAAAATTATAGTGTATTTTTTGGGTATTTTTATACGTTTTATAGGGAAATTGTAACTTAAAATTTTTAAATACGAGTATAAAAAAAAAGGGACATTAAAAAAAATGGATCCATTTGGTATCATTTGAAAAATTATTTTCTTTTATTGAAGACACAAAAAAATATCAAAACAATGCCTAAAATGCATTTGTGGAATTATTTTAGCAAAATATATTGTTTTCAAATAATTTTAAACTATGTTCAGAGTTGTAAAAAAAGGATTGAATTAAAAAATGAAATTGGTACAAAACATTAGTGCTTTTAAGCTTCACTCATTTTTTATATCAAAGAATGGGGAAAAAAAAAAAAATCACATATTGAAAATGAAAACAAAAAGAAATTTGAAAATACACTGAAATGGTGTAATAAGTTCTGCTTTTATCATTGTAATTTCGTATCAATATTAAATTAAGTTGTTCTGATTTCTTACTTGCATTCAATCCTATGAACTGTAACAACAATAAACTAATATTTTAAAACGGCAGTAACATAGGACCAAAAACGGCGGTTTTTTACCGCCGTAAATAGGTTCAAATTTTTCAAAAAATAATTCTTTCTTCTTGCATTCCCCAACTCTTGAACCCTCAACCTCTCATCCACCCACACTAACCACTCTACCATAGCCACTCTTTATGAAATATATTCCCTAAATAAATATTTAAACATTACTTTTACTTTATTGTAGATGGTTTCGGCGGAGCTCGTCGGAGTTTCGTCGGAGCATGCCGGAGTTTCGCCGGCAAAGACCGCCGTCATTAACGGCAGTAATGATTGGGCATTAGCGGCGGTTTTGTTATCGCCGTTAAAAGTGGGCATTAACGGCGGTTTTTTTAACGGCGGTAACAAAACCGCCGTTAATGATACCTTTAACGACGGTTTTCGTTACCGTCGTTAATAGTACCTTTAACGACGATTTTTGTTACCGCCGTTAAAAAAATCGCCGTTAATGCCCTGTTTTGGCGTAGTGGTACAAAACATTAGTGCTTTTAAGCTTCACTCATTTTTTATATCAAAGAATGGGGAAAAAAAAAATCACATATTGAAAATGAAAACAAAAAGAAATTTGAAAATACACTGAAATGGTGTAATAAGTTCTGCTTTTATCATTGTAATTTCGTATCATTATTAAATTAAGTTGTTCTGATTTCTTACTTGCATTCAATCCTATGAACTGTAACAACAATAAACTAATATTTTCTATTCGCATGTATTATGAAACTAATTCCTTTATAAATTTGATGAAAAGCTTTTTTAAGTTTATGTTGGTCGGAGTCTTTACATATGTGATAGTAAGAGAGAGAGATTCTTTGGAACCTACTAATACAATATTTTTTGCAAACTCAATTTAATTATGGTTGATGTCTATTTAAAATGATTCGCAATTTTTTTTTTATATTTAATAGATACTGAATATTTTAAATTATTTGTCTAGATTTTGTACAATTCTTCTTCAATTTTTTTTTTCTCGTTTTAACTGAGAGTATAAATTGTAATTTAAACTATTTTTTATAGGTTTTATTTTTTACAGTTTTGATAATTTTTTTTTTTTAAACTTGGAAGAACTTTTATAATTTTGTTGTATGATTATCTTACTATATTTCCACAATTTCTTAATTTTTAATTAATATTATTTGTAATTATTTATATTACTCTTTTATTTAAAAACATTCTAACACAACTCCTTAATAACAAGGGTAAAAAAACTAGTTAGTAATGAAGTTCTTGAAAATGGTAAGCAAAAAAACAAAAAAAAGCCTCGATTAAATTTTAACAATCTATTTTACCAATACTCTATTAGTCATTCCCAAAGCTATAAATCGATATATTTTCTTTTTAATCAGTAAATAAATAAATAAATTTGTTGATGTAATAAGAAGAACGGAATAATGTACAAGACTAATCCCATCAAAATCAACAGGGCTAGTTCATTTGGCCAAAATTTATGTCTCATTAGGAGGATAGTGATTTGAATCATCTTACTTGCGTGTGTGTCTCATTCTTGGTGTCTCATTCTTGGTGTATTTATTAAGATTTCTCTATCTCATTTTAAAAGTTTCTTTGTATTATTATTGTGTGTGCTAAAATCTATTGGAACAAATTATCTTGAATTTTTCAGTTGGTGGTTTTCGGATCTTCAAAACTTGGTGATAATCTTGTCTATGTGGGATAAAAATTTGGTGCTTCAAGTTGCATTACTAAGTCGCTTTCCTAAAGACAATATTTGCACCCATCAAAAGGTGTGCAGGGGTTACAACAAATTTGCCTCCACGATACAATGAAGCCTGATCTAAAGATCAAATCTATCGGCGTCTGCACTGCCAACAGTAGATCAGAATACTCTTGATATAATCAAGAAAACCAAGACATTAATAATCAAATTTGCAGAACTTGATTAGCAGTAAGAAAAGCAGAAATTTGCTTAAGAAACTCTTGATTGAAAATTCTAAATCAAGAGGGAGAGAGGAAGAGAGAGAATTGCAAGAATAAATACTAAATTTTTGAATGGAATGAAATGACTAATTTTGTAGCCTATTTATAGGCCTTGATGCACCTGATCGAATGGTTATGTCCCTTGATCGTATCAAATCATATTTGACCGTTGGATCGACGATCTACGGTGCAGATAATTCTCACACCGAACAGACGCCTTGACTAATCACACCTGATCACGATGGGGTGCCATCTCATAAGTACGATCGTGCGCATCTCCAATCAACAGCTATGATCAACCCGGTCCAGATTAGACACATAACCGTTTGATCGGTTGGTTGACTCATTGCCAATGAACGACACGTCACTACCACGTAGAGCTAACTGTATTCCACGTCACCCATGGCACGTTGGATCCACGTCATCACTCTAACCTGTCCGATGTAAATAGGAAAGCACCCTCATGGCGCCTTGTGCCATGCGTCTGTGCTATGTGCAAGTGCAAAGTGTGCCATCAAACGCCACACAGCCCACTGCCCACGACACGCCTGCGCGCGTGTGCGTGTGCATGTGCGGATGGTGCAAAGCACCATCTTTACGATGTGGATGCATGCACACTAGCTTTCACCTCACAATTCTATATTCAAAGGAATATTTCATGTAACACTTTATTAAGTGCTCCATGTTTTCCTCTCTTTTCGATGTAGGACAAAGCCCCAAGCTTATTTCATGCTTTCCAAAGAAAAACATGGAAGGTTTTGAAAACACCCAAAAATAAACTACAAATTTGAAAACCCATTTTGAAAATTCCCCAACATTCCCCCACCATTTTCAAAATATCAGATGATGATTCTTGGTTCACTTGGTAGCCTTATGCATAGGTGAAGATATCTTACAATTTGAATCATTCACTTAGTGAAGACATCTCAAAGTTAGTCAAGATGGCATAGTAGACTTGTCTTTGAACTAGTGATCTTATTCGACTAACCGGACATGTCTCATGCATAGTACAGGTTACCTCAAGTATTCAAACAAATCGACACGTGGATTGGCCTTGTGTCTATATCCTGTTTCATGAGCGCTCTAGGGTCAAGCCCTTAGACTCATAGGAAGCGGCACCACCTCCTACACTCACATAGATAAGCTTGCTAAGAGTACCCCTATAATTTATAGTACCCTAACAACTTAGTTGTAAGCTTATTAAGAGTTTTCTAACTCATCCTTTTCTTTTCACATTACAGGTACCAAGCACTTCAACCTTGGGATGAAAATGAAATAAAACTAAGTGCTTGCAATCACAACATATGGTGTACTTGGACTCATTGAACTCAAGACTTGATGTTTCTTCAAGCGTTGAGTCGAGTTTCCACCAGGAGTGATTATGTTAAGTGGGCTTAAGACCCATCCCCTTTGATGTTTTCCACACCAAATCCCTTGTAAGTCCCTTTGTTAAGGGGTAAGCCAAGTTTTCACTCGACTTTACATAACTAATGGTAATCACACCTTCCATGATTAACTGCCTAACACAGCTATATATGTCTCAGTCCTATATGCCTGGACTTTCCATTATAGACATGGCTATAGGCCTGTGATAGAGTTGCTTCACTATCACAATGCAAAGATATTAGTGGCATAGGTTTTGGCCATATCTTAATCTCTAACAAGAGATTCCTTAGCCACTCTGCCTCTTTGCTACAAGAAGCCAATGCTACAAACTCTGACGCCATGGTTGAGTCTATTATGCATGTTTGCTTCTTAGAACCCCAGGAGATAGCTCCTCCTCCAAGAGTAAAAATCCAACCACTTGTGGACGAGTGATCTTCACGGTCGGTTATCCAACTAGCATCCGTGAATCCTTCTAGCACTGTTGGATAGCCATTATAGACTGTTCCATAGTCTATTGTTTTCCTCAAGTACCTAAGTACTCGGTTAACAGCATGCCAATGTACACTACTGGGATTACTA